AATCAATTTATATAGGCTGTCACAATAGCAAAATTGTAATTGAAGTCTAACTTGTTGCTAGCTTTTAATGTGTGGATAATGTTTAACTTGCATGCAGGTTCTTCAGCGGCGTGACCTCTCGGGCTGTTCCCTACTTTTGAGATGGAGTAGTGTTCCTTCCGGATTCTCGTCTGTCAATGGCTTGGAATTGACAATCATGGTGGGATTTACACACATAATCCCTTCCAATTTGGATCTAAGTCAAGCATTCACCCATGCGCAAATCAGAGTGATCATTGTGTCTGGGTAATTATTAAGTCAGAATAATCATGTCTTAAACTGATGAAGTCATTGTTTAAGCCACTTGCCACGAGGACAACACATGGGGCAATCTTGATCATTGGGATTCGGCTTGGTCAAAGGACAGGTGGCATGAATTTGGCGGCCCAAAAAATAAGGCACAAAAAGGGGATAAATAACACTTCCCTTAGATTATTGTGATTATGTAGTTAAAAAGATAAAATTGAGAGAATTTAACATCTAAAAAAGAAAGAAATTTGCTTTAATTTGTTCTAAATTGTGGGTAGAAGAATTGATAAAATTTGATTATTTTTGGAAGACGGAAATTTTTCAGCTCCAGATCAAAGTTGCTGAACTTAACCATATGAATATGGTAAATGTTTGAATTACATTGTGTGAGGTCCCAAATTTACACTAGACCACTAGCAGAAGAGATATTTTGGGCTAAAATACGTACAAAACCTTGTCATCCTGCACAAGAAAAGTAGAACTCATGGAAATTGCTTTTCGGTTCAAAAAGGAAGAAAGGCGAAACTCTTTTCTTAATGCCTTTCAGGGACTTGTACTATCCGAGGTCACCTATAAATCTGTAATTGACTTTCATTGGTTAAACTTAAAGTAGTTGAGTTTCCTTGTTCAGGTGGGTGGGTTTGTTTTGGGACTTTGGTTTAGCATTGTTTTGGCCAAGTTAATAATCACTTAGTTCACATTTCATTGTCAAGGTCTTTACCATCTGAAAGCAACTTTAATGCTTTTTTCACTCTTGTTGCAATATATGTTACTCTATATGATAAAATGTTCTTTAAGCTTCAGAATAGGAGGTTGAAGTTGAAGACCAATGTGAGATAAATTAATTATATATAAAGATATATCTTATATGAGATTTGATAGGTAATAATATCTGAATATATTTCCATTTATATGACGTTTACATTATTTTATACATCCCAAATTTATTTGGACACTAATGAGGATAAGATCGAAAGTTTTTAATTAACATAAAAATCTAGTAGTTATGTGGACAACAGTGATATAGCATAATATATAATCAAATCTCGTTCGATTTTAGTTCAGAAGAGATACCAGTAGCATTTCGATGGTTGGGAGGTCAATTTTAATTTTAAGGCAACTTCCATCGATTCATTTTCTCCGGCTTAATTGAGGTCAACCACAAATGTCCCTTTTGAAATGGCCAGTTCAATTCCCAGTAAGCAAGTTGATGATGATAGATAGAATATGTATACAAGTAAAAGAGATTAATAAAGCACGAAAACTTAAAAAAAATTTAAAGCTAATCAGTACACTAAACTTTGGAAGTTTGGATTATAGTAATAATTAAAAAAGATATGAAGCAAAGTTTACGTACGTGTCAATTAATGTAATGGTAAGATATCCAGGTACGCTCTGATGGACGGTTCTGATTAATGGGCCCTATTTCTCTTGATAAAAGCTAAGCATGGGCACGAGGGAGGAATTAAATAAGAAAAAACATAACTGGACCAGCAGTTGACAAATCACTATCAAAATGCATATATAAAAATAAAAATAAAAAGAAAGAAAGAGTATGACACGAAGAAAAAGAAGGCACATGGGATGAAGCATGAGGGCATGTGGATGGGAAATTCAGGTCTTCTTTTATAATAATAAAATAATTAATTAAACATGTTTGATGTAATTTCAATGAAAAAAAGAAGCAATTAACAGATTAAGAACATGGATCCATCCCATTCCAATGGGATAGCCTTAAGCCTCCAACTAATAAAGTCATGTGATAGCAAAGAGAGTAACTTGTCTTTCCCCCATTTTAAAGCAGTATTCAGTGGGTCCTTCTCACCCCATCAATCACCAATCTGCAGATTGGTGGATCCCATCTTTGTTTTTAGATTCATCCCCGCTGTAGATTGTATAATATATAAGGCATGCAGCTAATCATTTTGATGATCATAAGGTTCACACAGACTCTTTAAATCTTTTATAATTCAACATGCATGTTTGATCTTATGGGTAGAGACCTCTTCCATGCAGAGAAAAAAAAAATACTGTAATTAATTAGGGTTTTAAGGAATGGTAGGTGGGTTTAACATTATTTAATATTATTGGTAACAGATGAAAAAGCTAAGTACTATTTAGATCTATTGATGATAGATAGCATTGGGTTTCCCCATGTCAAAATCTCAACCTTCAATTCAATTCTATAAAATTAAATCACTTGAAAGACTAAACGGAAAATGGAAATCTAGAGACATCATATACGAATTTGTGGGTTTGTAAGGTTGTGGCTAATTAGCTATTTTTGGGGCCATATGCAGGATACTTAATTCTTATCATGGGACCTACGTGTCTGTTTTTTTTTTTCTCCATGTTATGACAAAATGATAAAGGGAAAAAGAAAAGATGTAAGGAAAGGAAAAGAATAGTGAAACTTTAGCTTGGTGTTGCACTATTAAGTGATTTATCCATGCATGTACGTACGAGAGTGAACAATTAAAGCTAGCTACTTTGTACTAACTACTAAGGAAAATTCTGTACAAGTCATTTTTAACCATTCCTTCCTCAATTGTATATTTAGGCCCAGACCCAGTAAATATCGTATCGTTCAAATTAATGGTATAAAAGTGTGGGTTCATCGGTTCAAATTGTTGGCAACAAGGCTGCTTTACTCACCTTTTTGGCTGTTAGAATATGTCCCGTGGGTGCGATGTCGAATGGTCTCAGTTTACAACTCATTTTGCATTCTTCTTTTTACCACTGATTCCGGGATAAAGGTCATACTTCACCATTCATTTTTCATATGTGGTGATTCTGACTTCTATTGTTAAATTCACACATATGAACTTTGAATTCCTCCAATCGCGTATATATCTTCAACAAAAAAAAAACTAAGACAAAATGCATAGTGATAGGAACCATTACGAGGCAGTTTTCATATAATCCTCGATTGACCTACGTAGTCTCTATGATCATAAACTGTTAAAAAAAAAAATGGTATGAACTTCTTACACACATTTGTTGTTTATATACATGAATGAAAGCTACCATCATAATCATCTTCATCTTTTACCAAAATAAATACCCTCAAGAATCAAGATAGATAATTGAGAAATGAAAAAGAGGTTAAAAATTAAAAATAATGATAATACAAGAGAGATTAACAGAAGAAGAGTGGTTGAGAGACCATATAAAAAGGTTAAGATGGCACACTAGTTTTGTAACGTAGACCACACTACCACAGTGTAACAGGTGTTAAGGAGAATGATAGCCCAGAAGACTCTATCGAATATTGATAGATTACGAAGGGGACATCTTGTGACTGTCCATCGAAAGCAACATATTTGACTTTTATAGCTTAGCGTAAAGCACGTCAGAATGACAACTTGTGTAGGAAAATTTTGAAACCAAAATTGAATATTGCACAGTTTAAAGATGCTTCAATGGGTGGCCCTGCTTCAGATCGATCATCATATGTATATATATGCATGAGGGCTAGCTGCATCTCATCATCATGAATGCACAGTCATAAGTTTGCAAATTAATTAGAGACCTAGAATTTTGTAAGCCACACGTACGTTTTTGTGTTATATATATCTATTAAATAATCATATATATCTAGCAAATTCCATCAATTAGAAACTTAAGTAACAAGCAAGAGATACATGTAAATAAAATAGAGTGTGGGATTGGACATGACGACGGGGGTCGCAGAAGGGTGGTGGGAAGTGGCAGAAGAGAGAGAAAGAGTGGAGATAGAGAGGGTGGGTACAGAGACAAAAAAGACCAGCTCTTGTAGGGTTATTAGAACAGGGATTTTGCTTGGGCTTTTCAAAACCCTCATCTCTCTCTTTCGTTCTTTCTTTCAAATGCAACAACATAGCTGAAACTGATGAGAGGATAATGGATTGGAAAGAGGTTCGTCTTAATGCACGATACCTGTTGGTGGGTTAGGTAGCAAACCCTGCCCCTCTCGTTGGACCCATCCCTAGATTCCTGCCCTTTCTCTCTCCCTCTCTCAAATTTCAATCCTTTTTACATCTTAAGTATCCTCATCTCTTTCTTCAATTAACACAACATATGTTATCCAACGTTGTTACTCTGATCTACTTAATTTACCATTCATCAATATCACTGAATTATAACCAACATACTTTATATTAACTCATCACCCACTTCATATAAAAGTGGCTTTTAAAAATGACCACACTCCCCCTCTCCCTTTGACAATCCATTCTAAGTGCTTTCTTCTTATTCTAAATTTTATTTTTGTTAAAAGACAACTGTCTTTATTAAGATAACACCACTACTTGTCTCTTAAGAATGCCTGGACCACAACCAACGGTTAAGAAAAATTACCACTAATTTTCTCCCTTTGCATTTAACCTCTGATCAAGTTTAATTTAACACCAATTGGTAATTTCGCTTTCTGTTAAAATTCCGTTGCTGTTATTATTATTATTATTATTATTATTATATATATATATATATTTTTAATCTAGGTGATGTATTGCCATATAGCTAGCAAGGGAAGATTGTAAAGAAAAATTTGTGAAGAAAATTTATTTTGTTTTTAATATAGAGAGTTCAAGTACAAGTGTATAATTCTTTTTTTTTCCAACAGCTTAATTAGTTATATATAAAAAAAAAAAAAAAAAGCAAAAACAGCAAGTGAAATTCCTCCTCATATAAAGAGAAGTAGAACTATAGAATTATCAAACATCTCATCCTCACTCTCCCTTCCCTCTTTCCTCTCTCTCTCGAAATATAATTTTATATATAAAAACTGAAACAAGTAATCTCTTCCCAGCAACTGATAAGGTATATAAGCTATATATCCATCCCACCTTTTCTTCATCTCTGAATTATCAAGTCTCTCTCAGTTCCTTTCCCTACACTGAAATCTCTTTTACTCTGACAATCTTCATCCTTTCTCTAGTTTGAACATGAACCTGAGATTCTCACCACAATTCTTAAGATTTGTGGCACAAGTCTAGCTAGGTCATGACTTGCAATGGGATGGCTTTCTTCCCAACAAATTTCATGCTACAAACTTCTCATGAAGATGATCATCAACCCCCCACCTCTCTCAATCCAATTCTATCATCATGCACACCTCAAGACTTTCATGGTACTCGCTCTCTCTCTTTCTCTCTCACTCACTCACACACACGACACATGTACTGTGTACAGTATTTATGTACTATTATAGATTTTAATAAAATTAATTTTTGGTGCAGGGGTTGCATCGTTTCTAGGAAAGCGATCAATGTCGTTCTCAGGAATCGATATTGGTGAAGAAGCAAATGGAGAGGATGATTTGTCTGATGATGGGTCACAGGCAGGAGAGAAGAAGAGGAGGCTTAACATGGAGCAGGTAAAAACCCTTGAAAAGAATTTTGAATTGGGGAACAAACTTGAGCCTGAGAGAAAAATGCAGCTGGCTAGGGCTCTTGGTCTCCAACCAAGACAGATCGCTATTTGGTTCCAAAACAGAAGGGCTAGGTGGAAAACCAAACAACTTGAGAAAGACTATGATCTCCTCAAGAGACAATATGAAGCCATCAAAGCAGATAATGATGAACTCCAAGCTCAAAACCAGAAGCTTCATGCTGAGGTTAGTNACTACTAATGCTCATTGTTGCTTTTGTAACTCATCCATGGAATCTCTTGACCACTTATTTTTTGCATGCCCTTTTTCTAAGTCTAAATATTGTGTTTGAGTCTCGAGACTGTAATTTGAATATCAGTTATAGATTGGGTATTTGTGTTATTGGTTAATTGAATACTTTGCATTTGAAATGTTATATTGATTTTAACCAGGTAGTCCATAAAAGTGTTAAAACTAAGATTGATATTGTCGTATTTTTCAAAACGTATTATTGACAACACACCGTATTAAACCCGTATATACATATACCGTATTTTTTCCGTATCTGAATTTTATGGCCGAATTTTATAAATGTATTTTTCGTCGTTTGCCGTATTATACCAGTAAAATTCTCGTACCGTTTTTTTGTCGTACTCGTATTTACTAACGAGGCTCTCAAATGAGACGGCTAGATCTCTTAGATCGTACGCATCAAAGCTCTAAGATTGTGCGCATAAGTGCTTTAAGATATTGTGGAGAGGTTTCTCATGTCGCGTGGTCAAATAGCTCAGATCGCGCACATCAAAGCTCTTAGATCGCGCAACTAGAGCTCTCAGATTATGCGACCAGATCACTTAGTTCGTGCAGTCAGATTTCTTAGATCGTACACATCAGAGCACTTAGATCGCGTGCATTAGAGCTCTCAGATCCCACACGTCAGAGCTTTCAAATCGCGCAACCAGATCTCTCAAAAAGTGTGGTCAAATCTCTCAGATCGTACGCGTAAGAGCTCTAAGATGTCATGGCCAAATCTCGCATATCACGTGCCAGATCTCTCATATCTCGCACATTAAAGCTCTCAGATTACGCGGCCAGATCTCTCAAATCGTGCGGTCATATCTCATAGATCGCGACACCAGATCTCTATGATTGTATGAATCAACGCTCTTAGATCGCGTGGCTATATCTCCTAGATTGCGTAGTGAGATAGCTCAGATCGCGCGTATTACATCCTTTAGATCTCGTGCATCAGAGCTCTCAGATTATGCTGCCAGTTTTCTCAAATCGTGTGGTCAGATCTCTCATATCGTATGTTTTAGTGCTCTTAGATCGCCTTCCCATATCTTTCCATTTGCACGGTCCAACCGGTTAGATCATGTGGTGGTACTACCCAAATTGTGCAGTGAGATCTCTAAGATTGTACACAATAAGGCTCTCAGATCACGCAACCAGATATCTCATATCATGCGGGCAGTTAGCTCAGATAGCGCGTCCAGATTGCTCTGATCTTTTAGATCGCATCAATGCTCTTAGATCGCGCAACCAAAACTCTCAGATTGTGCGGTCAAATCTCTTGAATCGTATTCATCATAGCTCGCAGTCAGATCTCTTAGATTGCGCGGCCAGATCTCCAAGAACGTGCGGTAAAACTTCTCAGATCGTGCGCATTAGACCGCCTAGATCGCACGCATCAGATCTCTCAGATCGAACGCAAGAGAGCTCTCAGATATGTGGGCAGATCTCTCATATCGTGCGACTAGATCTCTTAGATTGTACACATAAGAGCTCTTAGATTGTGCAGTCCGACCTGTCAAATTATACCCATCGGAGCTCTCATATCGCGCGTATAAGAGCTCTCAGATCGCATAGCCAAATCTCTCAGATCGTATGGCCAAATCTCTCAGATCGTATGGCCAAATCTCTCAGATCGTGCGGTCAGATCTCTTAGAGTGTACGTATCAGAACTCTAAAATTGCTACAAGATCCCTAATATCGCGCGGTCAAATGGCTCAAATTGTGTGGTCAAACCACTCAAATCGTGCGCATCAGAGCCCTCAAATCGCGCGGCCAGATCTCTTAGATTGTGCAGTTAGATCTCTCAGATCTTACGCAACAGAGCACTTAGATCGCGTAGCTAGATCTCTCAGATCGCACGACCAAATCTCTCAGATTGTGCGTTCAGATAGCTCAGATTGCACGTATCAGATCTCTCAAATTGCATGCATCAAAGCTTTTAGATCACGCGCCAAGTTCTATTAGATAGAGCAGTCAAAGCTCTCATATCTTATGCATCAGAGCTCTCAGATTGCGCACCAAGAACTCTCTTGTCGCGTGCATTAGGGCTCTCAAATCTTGTGCATAAGATTTCTTAGATCGAGCGACCAAATCTATTAGATCGTACGCATCAAAGCTCTCAAGTCGTGCGACAAGATCTCTAAGATTGCGTGGTCGATCGCTCAGATTGTGCGATCGATTGCTCAGATCGTGTGAGTCGGATCTCTCAGATTGTGCGCATTCGAGCTCTCAGAACACGGACATCAGATCTTCCAGATCATGCAATCAGGTCTTTCTAATCGTACGTATCAGATCACTCAGATCGCGCGGTCATATCTCTCAGATCGTGCAGTTAGATCTCTTAGATCGTGTGCATCAGAGCTCTTATATCGCTTACATTAGAGCTGTTGAAGTGCGCATTCAGATCTCTCAGATCGCGCGCATCAGAGCTCTTAGGTCACACAACCCAATCTCCCAAATCATACGGTCAGATCTCTCTGATCGTACGCATCAAAACACTCAGATCACGTGGTAAGATCTCTGAGATTGAACGCATCAGAGCTCCAAGTCGTGCAACAAGATCTCTAAGATCGAGCGGTTAGATTGCTCAGATCATGCGCATCAAAGTTTTTAGATTGTATGCATCAGATCTCTTAGATCACGTACACCAGAACTCTTAGATTGTGTGGTCGGGTGTCTTAGATTGTAAGCATCTGATCACTCAGACCGCATTATTAGATCTCTTAGATCACGCGCATCAGAGCTCTCATATCGCTAACATGAGAGCTCTTAGATTGTGCGGTCAAATCTCTCAGATCGTAGGCATAAGAGGTCTAAGATCATGCGGCCAAATCTGTCATACTACGCCGTCAAATAGATCTAATCGCACGCATCAAAGCTCTTAGATCACATAGCCAAATCTCTCAGATCATGTGGTCAGATGCCTCAGATCGTGTAGCCAGATCTATAAGATCATATGCATTAAAGCTCTAAGATCAAGCGGTGAAATCACTTATATCGTGGGCATAGGAGCTCTTAGATTGCGTGGCTAAATCTCCCAAATCGTTCAGATTGCGCATATCAGTGCTCTTAATTGTGTGACATATTTCTAAGATCGCGTGGTCAAATCGCTTAGATCGTGCGAATCAAAGCTCCAGATCGCGCACACCTGTCTCTCAAATCTTGCGGTCAGATCTCTTAGATCATAGGCATCAGAGCTCTTAGATTGCGCGATCAAATTTCTCAGATCATACGAATCAGAGCTATCAGATCGTACGAATCAGAGCTCTCAGATTGTACGTATTAGAGCTCTCAGATCGCATTGTCAAATCTCTCGAATCAGGCATATTAGAGCTCTCAGATTACGCATCAAGATCTCTCAAATCACGTATATCAAAGCCCTCAGATCGCGTAGTGAGATCTCTTAAATCATGTAGTAAAATCTCTTAGATCATACGCAATATATCTTTTAGATCGTGGGCATCAGTGATCTAAAATTGCACGGCTAGAACTCTAAGATCTCACGGTCAGATCTCTTAGTTTGTACACATCAAAGCACTCTTATCGCGTCGCAAGATCTCTGAGATTGTACGCACCCAACTCTGAGATCGTACACATCCGAGCTTTGAGATCGCGGGCATATGAGCTCTTAGATCGTGCGACTAGGTTTCTTTGATCGTGCGGTCAGATCTCTCAGACAGTATGCATCAGAGCTCTTAGATCGCGCGGCCATATCTGTTGGATCACACAGCCAAATCTCTCAGATCGCGCACACCAGAGTTCTTAGATCACGCAGCCAAATCTCCTTGATCGGGTAGTTAGATTTCTTATGTCATACGGAGCTCTCAGATCGTGCATTCGGATCTCTCACCATTCGCATAAAGCTCTAAGATCGCGAGCATCGATGCTCTTACATCACTCATCAGAGCCTCCAGATCGCACGTATCCTATCTCTCAGATCGTATGCGTTAGAGCTCTCAGATCGTCCGCCTAGATCTCTCAGATCGTGTAGTCTAATCTCTCAAAATGTATGCATTAGAGCTCGTATATCGTGTGGCCAGAACTCCCAAATCGTACGGTTAGATCGCTCAGATTATGCGTATTAAATTTCTCAGATCATGCGCATCAGGGCTTTCAATTCGCGCGACTAGATCTGTAAGATCGTGCAATCAGATCTCTCAGATTATACACATAAAAGCTCTCAGATCACACGACTAGATCGCTTAGATCGCGTTGTTAGATCGCTAGATCGCATGCAGCAGATTTCTTAAATCATGTGGATCAGACGTCTCAGATCGTGCTGTTAGATCTCTCTGATCGTACACATAAGATCCTCAGAACGCGCAAGTTAGGTTGCTTAGATCGTGCGCATTAGAACTCTCAGATCATACACATCAGATCTCTTAGATCGTCTAGCTAGATCTCTCTGATCTTACGCATAAGAGCTCTTAGATCACACAGTCAGGCCGCTCAAATCGCGCGCATCAAAGCTCTTAGATCATGTTGCTAGATCACTCAGATTGTGCGGTCAGATCTCTCAGATTGTACGCATTAAAGCTCTCACATAGATCAGCCAAATCTCTCAGATTGCACAGTTAGAGCTCTCAGATCACACGTATTAGAATTCTCTGATCGCACGCATCAGATCTCTCAGATTGCGCACATCCGATCCTTAGATCGCGTAGTCAGATCTCTAAAATCGTACGCACCAAAGCTTTGAGATCGTACGACCAGAACCCTTAGATCACACGGTCAGGTCGTTCAGATTGGGCACACCACATTTCCCAGATCACGCGAATCAAAGCTTTTTAATCGCGTAGCCAGATCTCGCAATTAGATCACTCAGATCATACCCATAAGAGCTCTCAGTAGCACAATCAGATGTCTCAGATCATGCGGTCAAATCTCTCTGATCGTGCGGCCATATATCATAGATCGTGCGATTAGATCTATCAGATCGGATGCATCATAACCCTCAGATTGTGCAC